CGAAAATTGTAAAAACACAGGAATGCAATTGCATTCCTGACTCATTACCTAAAAAAAGTGAAAAAAATATTATATAATTTTAGAATTATATACATTACAGTATTATTAGAGAATACTTTGTGGCTGTTATAAAAGTTTGCACAACAGTCGCATATTATGGCTATGATTTACTGACTGTTACGTTTTTTTCTTGTGTTACTTACATAGCTCCAGCGGGTTCTCTGTCTTGTGTTCCACGTTGCCGTTTTTCGTTAGCAACTTTCTCATATGGCACTCTGTAAAGCTCCGGCACTAATCGCAAACCTCCACGCAGAACAACGATCTGAAAGGTGCAATGTTCTTGTTTCTACTGATAAAAATTTTCTTTTGGGAAATTTTTAAATTATAAATTTGCTTCACCCCCGAAAAAAACTGGCCTCGGGCATATGAGAAAGTGGAAAAAAGACTTCGAGAAATGCAACAATGGGCAGAAAGCAGTAGCAGATCAAAGAAACAGAACTTGAAAAGGCGTAAGAGAAAACAGTTGTTATAAAACAGTTCACTTTAATTCTTGACGGCGTCCAAGAATTAAAGTAAATAATGGATCACGAGACGAACAGAGAGGGGAATGCAACAGCGGAGTTGAGTGCAAGTAACATGAAGTTTTTACTTCATCCCCAGCCCGAAACACAGAACTATGACCTACTGTTAGGCCTTACCTATTCCTTCAAAAGTTGCAGGTCAAAAACCGAAAAACGTCATAAAAACAACTATCCTCCTTCTTTCGCAACCTCAGATTAAAGTATTTTTAAGGAATAAGTATATGCCAGATGAGTACGTCTCAATTATTTTCACCAAAAATCCATGAAAGTGTAAAAAACTTAATTTTCCCAAAAAGTGATAAGTTTTATATGTGAAAGTGCAGATGCAGACTCTGTTTATAAAGTTTTGCAGATATTCGATTTAAAAAGAAGCACCAAGAGCAATCGCTAAGTCTGGAAAGACCTCTTCTTAGCTGGAACGTAGGTCGATTCAAAGAACAGAAAATCTTTCGAACAACTATAAATTTTTGTAGAAGTTCTTTTTACTCTCATAGCAATTTTCGGCAGCTCGTTTTTTCTAAATGAATTTTTTTTTCTAATTAATAACCACCACTAAACCAGAACTTAATCGGCGGTCTCGAATAAAACTAACCTCCTCCAAAAGTGACCAGTAATGTTCGACCATCGTATCGTCGCGTGAAAACATGGCATCTAGCAAGAGATAACAGACTGACAACGGCCACTCACACTCAACGTCTTCGAACTGTTGCAGCTCAGCGTTATTGTAATACAATCTGGATGGATCCTGCAAACCACAAATCCAAACCCCTTCAGATGTCAAAACTAACGCAAAAATGCCAACAATTAGCATAGCAACTTCATAAGGGACAGTGAAAAAAGTGCCACACACCCGGCTTGGATTGTAGTGTTTCAGGCAGTAGTACTAATGATAACCAGAAGAGCAACTGGAGAAAATAAAAACGAGAGGAGTATGATGGGCGGAGGAAGATTTCCAAAAAAAAATGATACGAGGGATTCTAATTTTGATTGTGATTGTTACAATCTAATTCAAAATTTTCAACGATACCTTTTTAAGGACTGCATAAGAGTAAGCTAAAGTAACTTCATCCTGCAAAGAACTTTAAACGATTTTACACCTCAAGGGGTGTTTTATATCCATCGCGAAGAAAGCGTCGACAGCCGTAACGTCCGAGCAGAGTATCAATGACTGTTTCTCGCGTAAGCTGTATTAAGCTCTGTTCCTCCATCGCAAATGCTGGATACGAAATGACGGTCAAAAGGGCCAGGTCAGTCTCCTGAAGAAATAAATTCACATAAACAAGCAAACAAAAAAAAATTATGAACGAGTTTTTCTCAAACAGTACTAAAGCCCCCGACAATCGATGTAAAAATTTCACTTTAGTGATGGCTGGAATGCTGCCTTATGCGGGGTGCAGCCATGCCAAGCCCTTCGATCCTCAAATGCATATCTTCAGTCGTATCTGGTGCCTTTTCGATACGCACTGACTCAATACGTATTCATTCTCAGCGAAGGCAAAGGCGTGCCGAGCACATACCAATAGCAGTCAACCGCTGGCAAGGCTCAAAGACTACTTGAAGAGTGACGGAATGAACGATTACAGAATATAAAGAAAATGAATGCAAGCGGCTAGCAGCAGAAAAGCAAAACCTTCGAGAAGGATTCTCTCGGCAACATGGAAGACAGCACTGCGGAACACTGCTGGATCTGGTCAGGTAGTACGTGGATAACCGATCCTAGAAAACAAAACGATGTCTTCGCTGCACATCATCGCTTATCTCCTCTTAATAAAACAGATACCCATCATGAGTTGTTCCGTGACTCACTGAGTCACAGCTAACTTCAATCCCTAGCAAGCATTTCATGTCCCACTTCCAAACAAAAGATCTGGCAGCAATGTGGGACGGAAAGTATTGCTTTCATCGTTTTTTCTAAGTTATGCCAGAAAATACGTCGGGAAAAATTTGATAAAAGCAAACTATTCTGCTCTTTCCTCCCGGCAGCTCAGCAGCCAACGTTTTCATCTGTACTGTTTCAAGAAGAGGTACAGCTGCCCACAAGTTCAACGAACTATTTTCAAAGCTTCTTATCAAACTGGGTGCCGCATGCATTCTTCACACAATTTTTCACCAGTAGATCTGAGGCCCAGTTTTCCTGGCACTGGTTTCAGGCTAACTGAACTGTTTCTGCAGTGTTTACAGACTTTAAGCAACGAGCAAAATGTTGTCTGCGAAAATAAGTAGTTCGAGGATTTCACCGTCAGTAGAGGATCCCTGTGCTGTTTCATTTTTTGGCAAATATTCCCATGACAACAACGTAAAAAGAACAAAAGATTGAGGAAGAAACTATTCCCAGAATTCATCAAAGTCAACGGAATTGCTGTATTTAAAATAAGTTCACCAAAATACACTGATATGCGATAAACAATGCTCTGCGAACCTTTCGAACCATCACCAAACAAGTCTCCGACATCGTTCATCGCTTGTAAAGCTGCTTTTATCATTCCAACACTACTCGAATTGAGCTCTCGGATTCCCTGATTTGTCTTATCACCACGCTCCCAAATGCCATAGTCCTAAAGCGCGCAAATTACGGAAACAGGCAGTGAAAATTTTGTCAGAATTGGAGGAAGGAAAACAATAATGAAGCGAATGATAAAAAACATCTGCCCGTAATCGCAAAGAAAATTAAACGAACGCAAGCATGAATGTAATAACCAAAGAAATACGGAATGCCCCCCTTTCTAAAGTGCACTTCTGAAGAAATGTTTCCTTGGCAATTGGTACTATTTTTGGAAGTTTTACCGGCGTTCTGTAGCCAACTTCGATGTAATAAACAAGATTTTGCACAAATGCCACTTCGTCGAAGTTACGAACAATCTGCAACCCTGAAAGAGACAGCACATCGTAGAGGCTCACACAACATTAGTATAATTAGCAGCTTTCTTCAATGAAGGAATATATATATATATATATATACTTTACCTAAAAAACAGCACCTTTCCACGATGATAGTTCCTTCTTATCTTTACCCACATTTATTTGAAATACAAAATCAGAAGGGACTGAATTTCGAAATGTCGGAAAAGAACAAGTCTGTGTACTACTTCATAGCTGTAAACGCAGAAAAGGTTGTGAACGCGAGTGGGGGTGAGAATCATCAGTTCGGCCTTCAACTCGCCATTCAGGAAATAAGCTTGTCTGAATAAGCAGGACTAGAATAGGAAAAGGATGTAGAAGAATAAGTAAAAGAAGTAGAGAAATATAAGAGGCGTAAGAGGGAATGTCAGTAAAGCCGAGGAATTTGTATTTTGAAAATCATGGATTATGATAATGAAATATTCATGATGTTTCCGACAGCGGTTATCGCAGCCGTCGTCTTAAAGCTTGTTTTTTGTATCTGAAAATGTGTTACAGTTTTTTTAACAATGGATATTCACTGGGGCAATAAGGATGACAGGGCCGATCCTAACTCCCTATCGCCCGTTTTTCCTCATTTTTTACGAAATCGAAGGAGGAAGCCGTCCATCTGTTCATCATGCTCAGCCCGTTCTTTACCCCGAGGACAGCCGTTCGTCACGCCAGAGTTTATTCCCAATATGTGCCCTACTGGTAGCTGATATTACTCGAATGGCAGTGGGTCCTGTGCTACTAAAGCGCGCTGGCTTGATTTGTGCTACAAAAACAGTGGTAGTCCATCTTGCACCTCGGAAAGATCGAGCGCAACTCTGTCGATCCGAACCACCCAGAGAAGAGAGTGAGAAGTTTTTTCGACAGGGAAGGACTGCATTTAAGCGAGGCACGCTGGATTTATCGACTGAATTATGCACTTTCTTTCAGCAAAATAGCAATTCCAATATGAATTCAGCAGAATGACTAAACTTCTCATTCTTTTAATCCATTTTTATGCGTTTTGTGCTGTGCAACAGCTGCACAAAACGGATTTTGTCACGGGGTTGTGTATGTGCGTGTGTGTCCGATGCAAATTGTCTGCAACTTTCAACTCGGAAGCCACAAAAGCTAGGAACCTGAAAATTTAGGGGCATGTTCCCCACGTACGTGTGACCCTGCAAATTTAAATTTAGCCTTCCCGTGCTCGCAGGTAACGCGTACGACCCCGTAAAAGTTCTGGCGAGAATTATTATCTCGGGAATCACGAAAGATAGGAAACTGAAACCTTACGGGCATGTTCCTGCCCACGTGCGGCCCAGAAAATTTAGCCTTCCCGTGTCCGCAAGTAACACGTATGGCCCGTAAAATTCTTGAGGAAACATTATCTCGGGAACCACGGAACTTTGGAAGCTGAAACTTTAGCGTAATGACCCCTTGTCCACATACGACCTCACAAATTCAGATACAGCATTCTCGCGTTCTCGAGTACCACCTAGAGCCTCGTGAAAATTTTGGCGAAGAAATTGTTATCTAGGGAACCACAAAAGCCAGGGAGCTGAAATTTTACGGTAATGTCCCCAGCCCATAAACAATCTCACAAATTTAAATTCAGCCTTGCCGCGCGAACGGGTATTACTTACGGCCCCGTGAAATTTCTGCCAGGGGAAATTCTGCCACGGCCCCGTGAAATTTCTGCCAGGAACCACGAAAGTGGGAAATCTGAAGTTTTACTGCGATGCTCTCTACCAAAGTACTGCCTCGTAAATTTGGATTCAGTCTTCACGCACCCCTGGGCACCACTTACGGTTTCGTGAAAGTTTTGGCGGGGGAATTATTATCTCATGAATCGCAAAAGCTAGGAAGCTGAAATTTCACCGTAATGTCTCTCGCCCAAGTACAACTCCGTAAGTTTGAATCCAGCCTTCCTCTACGTCTGGGTAACACGTACGACTCCTTGAAAGTTTTGGTACAGAAATTATCTCAAGAGCTACAAAAGCTAAGAAGCTGAAATTCTGGCGTTCCTTGCGCACGTGAAAGTTTTGACAGAAAAAATCGTTGTCCCGAGAGCCAGAAGAGCGACTGTAAATGTCAAGATGTTTTCTGCCTAAGCAGAAGCTTCACAAACTTAAATTCAGTTCTTAATTATGCCGAGATCTCATGTACGACCACGTGGAAGTTTTGAAGCGAAAATCGCTCGAAAGCCGGTAAATTAGAAAGTCTAAACTTCGGAACGATATTCACCCCTCAAGGCTTCAAATTCAACTTTCACGTACCGGTAAGTGAAATTTTTAGGAGGATATTTCGTAAGTTAGGAACAAGAAAATATTTCAACTATTTTTGCGGAGAAGAAAGTGCAAAACGGCGAAAATCATTAGCAGGCAAACATTCGCTGGACGGAACTACACAACACGCATGATCGCACCGGCTGTCCTAGCGCGCGTTGCTATTATTCCCTACTTTTTCCATCTTTTTTGGCGACCAACACCTCTTCAAGGCAGAAAGTCTAGAGCTTTTCCCATAAGCCACATAGCAACAGTCCGCGAAAACGAACCGGATGCAGTCATTTGGGCTAATGTAAGTAGGAAGAGGGATATGGCATCGATCTGGAGATGTCCCCACTCGCCGTCGCCCACCACTGTGCTCTTCGTTCGTGCTGAGTACTTCGCGTGAAGCGCATCATTCTTTCGTTGATGTAATTTAAACTGCTCCACTTTTTCTGACTGGCGCATCATACATTCCAGCAACGACTGCATCAATTTCACACTGCAAACACAAAAATCGTAAATTTGTCTTTAAAATCGCTCGGCACTGGGAAGTAACGAGAAGAGGGACAGGCAGAAGAGGTCTCTCTGAATACTACTGGGACAATGTAAACATTCTAGGCCACTGTGTATGAATTTTTTGCTTCAATCTGTGACTAATCACGTGAACAGTTGCAATTTACTTGCAGTAGTCAGAGAACGGCATCCAGACTTATGAATAATTACCATGTTAGTCCCAGCTCATTTGCTTTGGCAAGATCTTCGTCGATATCAGCGCTTTTTTGATAAGCTCGAAACATTGCCCAGATCGCATGCGCTGCATATAAATTGTCACGCACCCAAGCATGATCCGGAAAATCCTTAAAAAAGGGGGTTCAATAAAGTAAGCTCATCAATGTGAGCAATTATGCATGTAACCTCTGTTAAAGCATTTACTACTGTGATCCGATGCAGTGTTTTCTGAAATATCGAGAAGTAAATCGGCCAAATTCAAATATTTCTAATGGCATACATCCAGTATGACAAAAAATTGGCACTGTTGGTAAAAATTCAATATAAATGCAAATTCAGAATATCACGGATGCGAGGAGCTGGTGACCAGAAAAACCAAAGTATTTCGTCAAAAAGCAGCTATTCTAAAATGAAATTAGAACTTTTGCCCCCCCCCCCCCCACCTCTGTCCTCTTTCCACCCGCACAGAAATGATAACAGGGTCATTCGTTGTACTTTCAACTGCTAAAGAAAACAAGAATGCGTGATAAACGGACGAATACTACAGCCCATCAAAGGGTACCTTTAACAGAATTATAGTTTATAATCTGGGTCTTTGTCCACAAAACATCGTAGCTTTTTCAGGTGCAAAGTTGTATCACCTAGTTTCAAATAGTTTCGTCTCTTGAAGGGATTACCAGCAAAACAGCTCTCCTGACAACAGTGCTCAGCAGTTCTTGTACATAATCCGCAGCCGAAACGGAAATACCATGCTCTCAGTGATTACAAACTTTCAGTTTGAAACAAACTTTATTTTAATTTCTACGCTTTCTTCAGTGCCCGCTTAGAATTTCCTTAAACACATTACCATTCTTAAGCATTCTCGATTATTCTCTTTTGTCATTTCGAAGTGCCCTTAGTTTGTCTTGAAAATTATCACCTCAGTGCGGATGAACGATGTTACACTCCTGTATCACCACAACCAGGATGTTTCATTAGGAAATATTTTTAAAAAATGCGTTAAGCTACTAGCATATCTGCCAGGAAACAGCACTAAAAATTTGATAAACAGCGGGGCGCCCCAGGGTAGCCGGTGCGATCATGCGTTTTGTGCAACTCTGTCCACTGGGCGTTTACCTGCTAAAAATTTAACTGTTTTACATTTTCGTACATGCAAAAATAGTTTGTATGTTGTCTAGCTCCTTTCTTGCTATAAAATTTCCCACTGAAAATTTCGCGCGCTGACACGTGAAAGCTGAATTTGAAACTTTGGACGGGGAACATCTTCCCGAATTTCAAACTCCCGGTTTTCCAGTTCCCAAGCTAGTTCCTCTCGTATCAAAACTCCCACGTGGTCGTACGTAAGATTCCGGCGCATTTGAGAGCTAAATTTGAGTTATAAGGTCTGAAAAGGCAGGAAACATTCTCCTGAAATTTCGGCCTTACTGCTCTTTTGGTTCACGGAACAATAATTTTCCCACCAAAACTTTCGCGGGGTCGCATGAGAGACCCAGGGGTCTAGAAGCTGATTTTAGTTCTGCAAAGTCATATGTGGGCAAAGGACATTCACACAAAATTTCAGCTTCCTGTCTTTTATAGCTTCCGAGCTTCACGGGGACGTAACTGAGACCCACGCTTAACTGAAAGCTGATTTTGAATTTACGGGGTCATAAGTGGGCAGAAAACATCCTCGTCAAATATCAGTTTTCCTAGCTTTCATGGTTCTCGGGGTAATAATTTTCTCGCAAAAACTTTAATTGGGCCGTGCTTGATACCAAAGTGCATGGGAAAGCTGGATTTAAACTCTCTAGTTCACACGTGGGCAGGGGAAATACCCATAAAATTTTAGCTTTTTAGCTTCCGTGATTCCCGAGATAATAATTTCTCTGGCAAAACTTTTACGAAGCCGTACGTGTTACTCGCGGGCACGGAGGGTTGAGTTTAAATCTGAAGGGTTGCATATGGGCGGGGAACAATCCCATAAAATATGAGCTCCCTAGATTCCGTGGTTCCCGGGATAATAGCTTCCTCGTCAAATCTTTCGCGGGGCCGTACTTGCTACTCGTGGGCACGGAAAGGCTGAATTCAAATTTGTGGGGTCATAGGTTGGAGAGGAAAAATCTATCAAAATTTCAGCCAAATAGCTTTTGTGGTTCCCGAGTTGAAATGTGGGACAAAGTCTGGGACACACACACACACACCACACGCACGCACACACACACACACACACACCCACACACACACAGAGAGAGAAACAACCCCATGACAATATGCGTTCTGTGCTGCTGTTACAAAGCGTAAAATTGCATAAAAAACAGCACCTGTACATTGTTGGCAAAAAGGCCGGTAATTGGATTCTGATATTTGAGGATTGTCTGTTCCACCACATACATCAGACGATCGAGGCGAACGCCCGAACCGCTTCGCGAACGCATCCTGAACCAGTAGTTATCCGAACCCAAGTGCTGCCATCGTTTTCCCCTGCAAATTGACTGCTGAATGGCCTCGCCGAACGGCGCAACTCCCTTTCCCCGCATTTCGGGAACGTAATATATTTGATACAACAAGCATATGTTCCACCACCAGAACATCTGATGTACCAAATGGTAAAGCGAGAGGCAATGCGATGCACGTGCGACTCACGATAACTGCACGGGAGCACGATCCAATCAGAAGCCGCTAAAACTCGGCTCGGCTCGGCTCGGCTTGACTCCTCTCGGCCAGACTGGGAGGTGAGTTGCGATGATGGAGTGTGCCCCCTGGGATGGTAAGTTAAGAGTAGGCGTGAGTTCGGCGAGAGGAGACAAGGAGGAGGGATTGGGGTTTAATTCTCAACGGTCATAAAGGAAGAGAGAGGAATTGCTCAGAGGTAAGAGTTAGGAAAAAAGATGGAAATCATGGGAGAAAGGAAGGGAGGGAATTCTATGGACTTGAGGTGCTCAGAAAGGAACTACGTGCTCGTGCACGACACAAAACTTAATTCAAACGAAAAAAAAACGATATTTGTGAATGACTACAACTTTCGCAGCCCAAACCCCAACCCACAAGCGACTACATATTGTTCGGCCGAGCCGAGTGAGCCGAAATTCTAATATATTTATGTAAATGCAACAACGCACA